GTAGTAGCTAGGTTTACCTTGCTACCTTGATCCAAAGATTTGTGCTTTCTTTGATTCTCTTCTTTTTCTTCACAAAGGTTAAACCCTAGCATGATAATCCATAAAAAGGACAATAAGAATCATTATCCATTTCAACTAAAAGCAAGAACATAACTCAAAAATACTCTTGCTTCATAAAGGTTCCATCTTTGCTCTTTGCTTCTGAACTTGTTTTCCATAGGGTTTAAAAATCCTTTCTTGCCTTATTCCCACATTTTTTTTCCATTTTAAACATCATGGAACAATCAAAACATTGAAAATCTCATCCTATGGGCCATTTAGTGTCAAAACCGAAATGCTCCTTACAATACACAATAAAGAACACACTTCCAAAACACCCTAAAATCACTTGTAACCACTTGGATCTTTTATGTTTTGAAGTGTTTTACCATATTTGAGCAACATAACTCCTTCCCCTACACCATCATCATTTCATCCAGCACCCAAAGAAGGGGAGAAACAAGATTTCCAACCATACAAAGCAAGAAAACAAGGCAAGGAACAACTTAGAACCAAAAACTAACCTTGAATCTCACTTGTGTGCTCCAAGATGCTATCTTTCTCCTTAGTTCTTCCTTGGTTCCACTTGAAACACTCTCTTTTCTCTCTTGCCTATGGCTTGCACGAAATAGAGGTCTGATTTTAGGGGAGAAAGTGCTCATTTAATGCTTCAAAATATCTCAACCACCATCATTAATGCTAAACCAAGTGTCACTACCCCCTTGGTTCCTTCTTTCTCTTTCTTAATTAACTAAATCCAAATGAAATTAATTACCAAAAGTTAAAATCCTCTCCATTTAGAAAATGACACTTGGCAATTTCAAATCCTCTCCATTAAGGGCTTGACACTTGGCTCAATGAGGATCATTCAAAATGTAAAGCTCTTTATCGGTGCACTTTGACTCCGGGTTTGAATCCTTTTCTATAATTACAGTATTCTAACCTCTGTAATTATTTTCTATTAGAGCCCTATTTTATTGTCCTCATTTTTATCTTTCTAAATTGCCCTCTTTTGTCTCGAAATTAATTTCCCCATAATTAACATAAAAGGAAAAATTAATTTCCTTTTCTTACGGATTTTTCCACTATTCAAAGAAATTAGGGAAAATCTTGGGTACTTGAGGGTTTTCTTTTAATTTCTTGAGGTATCAGGAATTTTCTTGAACCTTTATTCCCCTTAAACTATTTATTTAGAATTTTCCAAATAAAAGCCCTTAAATTAGGCTAAATCACCCTTAAATTCCTTTGTAATTTCTATAAGGATAATTTGACCTTAAAACTAATTTTATAATCTCATATGATTCTCAAAGGTTATTATCCTTATTTTTTCCTCAATTTCTATGACTTGGAATATTTTTCCCATAATTATTCTTGACCAATTTTCCTTAATTAGTCAAACTTTTCATAATTGGCTTGGAAAATCATAATAATTATTTTCCACTAAAATCCTTCTATTTCTCCTTATTATTTTTGACCCTCAATTATTTAGGAATATTTCTTATTTCGAATTACCATAATACTGGATGTGACATTTCTCCCCCCTAAATAAATTTTGTCCTCGAAATTTAAAGCGTACCTTGATGGAAAAGTTCTAGGTACTTCTCCTTCATTTCGGTCTCCATCTCCCATGTGGTTTCTTCATATGAAAGACCCTTCCAGACCACTTTGACCAGTGGAATTTGCTTGTTCCTCAGCTGTTTGACCTTCTGATCAATGATTCACTCTGGTCTAACCTCAAAAGACAGGTTGTCTCGAAGCACAATGTCATCATAGTTTATGACGTGTGTCGGGTCTGGATGGTACTTCTTTCATTGGGAGACATGGAAGACATTATGAATCCAATTCAAATTCAAGGGGAGGGCCGACTTGTAAGCTACTGGTCCAGCTCTGGTCAAAATCTGAAATGTTTCCACATACTTTGGACCCAGCTTCTTAGTCTTTGAGGATCGACTGACTTCCCTTATCATTACACTTTAATCACCAACCTCAACCTTTAATGGTCTCCTTTAATGTCTGGGTAGCTCTTGTTTATTTTGAGCTGTTAGAAGTCTTTGTTGAATAACTTTAATCTACTGGGAAGTCTGATCCACTATCTTAGGACCATACTTACTTCTTTCATTGAGTTCTATCCAGCACAAGGGAGAGCTATACTTCCTCCCAAAGAGTGCTTTGTATGGTGCCATTCGGATACTTGTATGGAAATCACCATCTTACACTACTTCAGCTAACGGTAAGTACGCCTCTGAGTTACCACCGAAAATAAGCGCAGATGTGTACATTGAATCTGAGGGTAGTGTCCACTTCTTTTATAAGGACCCCCAAAACTTCAAGTAAATCTCGGGTCTTAGTCCGAAACCATACTGCTTAGGACACTCGGTAGCCTAACAGCTTCCTTAACCTTCGCGTTTCATTCTTTGCTAGACTTAGTGCATTCTTGCCAAAAGAGTTGACACTTTTGGCTTTTGCACCCTCTTACATTACTTTCCAGAGGTTACCTATCATTGGGTTACTCTTGCCCAGGCACGCTTAACTGAACAGTACTGACAGGAATCCAAGGCATTGATTCTGATAGGTTCAACTCTGGCACTTTACTATCTTAGACCCTTTCCTGACCTACCTTTAGTCGGGTCTTTTTAGCTCACATTCTTGTCTCTCGCCTCATCTTAAGGATTTACCCGTCAATACTCAATCTGTCTCTGTATTGCATAGAGTTTTTCCTGTATTTGGAGCTAGCCTGAATGTCTCTTGTTCAGGTCTTACGGCTCTAATTCTTCTAACTTTGACTTTCCTCTATCAATTGGAAGGAAATTGAGCCCATCCTAACTAATGATAAGGTTATCTTGAAGGAAGTCATAGGTACTCTCTCAGTATCGGTTGACAACCAAAACAGGTTTCTATAACTCCAACTCATCCCTAGTCCTTATCTTCCCAAAGAGGTACCGATCCCTGGGAGACTTAGACTATAGGACTAAGTAAAGTTACCTCCACTCAGTTGGTCACCTAACTGATAATTCCCCAAAACTATTCCAAGAACCAATACCATTCTCTTGGGCCTTGTGTTAATTTCCCAAGCTACCTTTTTATCTCTTTAGGTGCCTAAGCCAATTTATCTTAGGAATTCTCTTATTCCTCCAGTTGCTCTTACCATTTCTTATTATTTTAGAATGGTGCAGAGAGAGGACTTATGCAACTTCTCTTTCCTCTACTTTACTTTTTAGTATGAGCATACTCTAACATGCATAATGCCTAGCATTTCAATGCAAGAAGTTCAAGCTCTTACTGGTTGTTATGTCTGTAGCGTGCCATCCAGACATCTTATCCCTACTAGAGGGAGCCTCTCTTTCTGCTCGCAACTGCTTCTGGAAGTCATAGGGAGAGGACTTTTGAGGTTCTTCTTCTCTCTACTTGCTCTAGTACTCTGCTAAGCTCAGATACATCTAAGCCTAGCTTTATTCTTGGCTAGTTATACTTCCATAGGGTAAGGTCAACTCCACTAGCCTTGCCTCGGCTGCTTCCCTTTCCTGCCCGGATAGGGTATCTTGCTCTATTTTGAGCAATGTGAATTCTAATATGGAGGACCAATTTCCACCCACTCTAGAAAACTCCTAGCCAAGACCTTATCCCCTGAAAAGGGTGCCTCTCAACCTAAACCCCAAGTGACTGAGTATCTCTTAACATTAAGGGAACATGCCAACCTCTAAGCTAGTTCCCTGCATAGCTATCTGTCTCATCCTCCTCTTTTTAATCCTTAAGACATTTCACTAGGGCTCTCTATCTTGACTGTACTATCTCCAAGTTCCTATTCATCTATTCCAGGACTTGAGATAGCTACTCTATCATGGTGCCCTAGCCCTAATGAGGCTGTAAGAGTTTGTCTAGCTTAGGTGACTACTTCCACCTTCCTAGTGGCGTGTACACTCAACCTCTAACTGTCTTGTATAACTTCTTATGATTACTTTTCTTTTTTTTTTTTGGGGGAATCTGGTAACTCAAAATAGTGGCTACTACTCTCTTCTTGACTTTTACTTATCTTACTCTCTGTGACCTTTAAAAGTCATTACGTCTCGGTGAGATACTACCTCAACATCTGAGAGTTATTGTGTTTGTTCATCATGACTAGAATCATTGTTTGCAGTGATGGAAGTTACCACCTCCTTTGGTAACCACTCTATATTCATCCATCGCCACTAATTCCCTTGGTTTATCATGACTTACATAGCTTCATTCATCGTACCATTGCCCGTATGGGCTTCCGTTACGAAGTTTAACTTAACTTCTGGATTTTACTACATTTCTCTTAGGGGTAGGATCAAGGTCTTGTCCTTGCCATTATGGGACACAACCAATTCAATCCAATTACCTCATCAATTTCATATAAGACATACATATTAAGTTTAAGGCAGTAAACAGTGCTCACAACAACTATATAGTTTAAGTACACATCAGATGTAATTATCTTATAATGTGTTGGCATGCACACATAGATCATACAGCAACATATTCATAACTACGCCAAGTCTTTTAGCTCAGGCATATAAAATAAGGGAACGACTAGCACCCTAATAAAACATTGCAATCACTGGGAGGTTGTTAATAATGATCATGCCTTAGATCATTTTTGGTGACTTCTGGGCTTCTTCCTGTGTGATGGCAAATTCTTGTCCTTAGGTGCGTGGCCTTGCCTTTTCCGTGCTCTGTGGACATTCTCTCGAGAAGTGTCCGGGCTTGCCGCAAGTATAGCAAACATTCTACCTAGCCATACATGGTCTATCACCGTGACTCTTGCCGCAGGTTAGATATTCTTTGTCGTTCGAGGGCTTGCCTCCTTTCTTATTCTTTTGATTATCCCATGGCCTCCTTCTCTTCCTATTGGCATTTGAGGAGGTGCCACCTTGATCTCCCTTCTCTGCTCTGGGAGTTGTCTTGACCATCAGGTGATGGTTTAAGCTGCTTTCTGTGATTCAGCAGGCCTCCACTGCCTTGTTGAATTGTTTAAATTGTCTGGGAGCAATCATCTCCCTCAAAGATGGCCTTAGTCCTCGAACCATCTTCTCCATCATCCACCGCTCATCATCTCGGTAACGTAGGTAATTGGAATAGTGGGAGAGATGGATAAACCTAGCTAAATACTCGTCAAATGGCTCATTATCCTTCTGCTTTAGGGTCAGGAATTCTGCTTCCCTTTCACCCCTGACTGGCCTTGGAAAATATTTCTCATAGAATTGCTCGAGGAACACTTCCCATGTCACCCTCATGTTCCGAGCATCCAGGATAAGTTCAGTATTCTTCCACCAGCGGTCAGCATCTTTCTCTAATTTGTAAATTGCCATTTGAGCTTTCCACTCTATCGGGCAGTCTAATACTTTAAAAATCTTCTCCAAGCGGTTAATCCAGTCTTCTGCCACTTGGACGTCAAACACTCCATCAAATGACGGTGGGTTGTGTTTACAGAAACATGCCATCCCTTGCTGGATACTGTCAAGGTCTACTGTTGGCATTGCTGAGTTACTTTTTAAGCTGTATTTTTCGATCACCTAATTGATAATCTAATTATCAATAACTTGATGGATCACCCAATCTTCTGAAACTTCTGTTTTCACATAACATGATCGATCAAGTTTTTCCTAGTATTTCTGAAATAAGTTTTCAACGGTATTTTATTGATCACTTAATCGATTAATCATTCATCAATCATTTACTCAATCATCTTATATTCGGTAACTTCACTATGAAAATCTCTTTGAAATTTTTTATCGATCATTTCTCCTATCAACCGTTTATCGATACAGTATTCAATCAATACACTTTGAAAATATATTTCTTCTACTTAGCTTTATCGATAATATAATCGATCAAACAGTTTTTGATCACTTGTTCAATCATTGTACAAGTTCATTTTGTAACAGCATTTCACAATGACTTTGAAATATTTTATCCTTTTATCTTTAAGCTTTTCTCAGCCTTCTTTTTACACATAACTCCTTATTAAAAGGATACGAAGGCCAACGTAACTTGAAATAGATTATCCTTGCATAATCCATTTAAAGCTCACTGCATACATGCTTCATCATTTATCGAACATTTGTTCGATCATCATATGATCCATAATCTATTCAATAATTGCATATATCTGCTATATCTTTTCTTCATATAATTAATTGATAATATGATCGATTAAAGGATTATTGATCAAGGCATCGATTAAGTAAGTTCATATTACTTTCTGAATATCTGAATATCTGATGATTGATTCCATGTTTTCCAACTTATTGTTTCTAAGATTATCAGATACTTATCACTTGATTTGAGGAAGATTATTTCAGGTAAAGAGCCACAATGAATTTATGATGTAAAGAATCAACTTTTGTCAAAAACTTCTAACGGCTAGTTTCAACGGTCATATTCTTCGAGCCAAACGGGAAGAAGATGCTTAACGGTCAAATGCCCAACATCATCTATCAATAGAAGAGCATTCAAAATGAGGAAAAAAAAAGAAGACTCTGAGCTTACAACATATGTATTCGTAAGATAGAGAGGAGAGTTTCCCAAACGTGCTTAAGATTCATCTATCACTTCTTTGAGAGAAGAAATATTCAATCTTCATTATCATTATCAGATTGTATCCTTACGGTGTGTAAGGGGGAGTATTTACCTTTGTGAGGTTGTTGTTGAATAGACTGATTAGTCTAAGGATTGTAAGTGGCGTCACAAGTACCCGGATCAAACTTGTGGTTGTAGTGGTTCTCAAGTACCTGTGTTAAACTTGAGGGAGATAGTGGATTGAAAATCTCAGGGGGAGCCTAGGGATTGGACGTAGGTCAGTAAGGACTGAACCAGGATAAATCACAATTTGCATCTTCTCTGCCCTAAACTATTTTACTATTGTGATTATGCTTATATCAATTCATTGTTTTTATACTCAGAATTTATTATGAATTTCATTATATTGTGAAAAAAATTTTAATTTTAATTAACACCTAATTCACCCTCCTCTTAGGTGATCAACCATTCTTACACTTATCACCCCTAGACTAATGGTCAAACAGAGGTTTCCAATAGAGAAATTAAACAGATTTTGGAGAAGATAGTTAAACCATCAAGAAGGGACTGGAGCATTAAATTAGAAGAAGCTCTATGGGCCTACAGGACTACACACAAGACACCTATAGGAATATTACCCTATAGGGTAGTTTATGGAAAAACTTGCCATCTCCCGGTTGAATAAGAGCACAAGGCGTGTTAGGCATGTAATTTGGATTTTGAAGCTGCTGTGATGGAGAGGAAATTGTAACTGTAAGAGCTTGAAGAAATTCAAATGGAGGCATATGAGAGCTCTAGAACCTACAAGGAGAAGAGTAAAAGCATTCATGACAAGGGAATTCTAAGGAAACAATTTCATGTGGGTGATAAGGTCCTGTTATTCAAGGCTAAGTTCAAGTTTAAACATAAAAAGTTGAAAACCAAGTGGGATGGGCATTATCTAGTTACCAAAGTACACCCTTTTGGAATGGTTGAATTAGTAGATGAAAAAAGTGGCCAAAGTCTGAAAGTTAATGGTCACTTACTCAAGTTGTATCATGAGCACTTCCATCCCCCAAGAGGCTACAGGTTGTTTCTTCCACCTTATCTCATGTGCTTTTATCTGCATATTTGAACTTGTTAAGAGAACAAGTGTGGGGGAAACCCTTTTCTGTTAGCTTAGGAAAATCTTTGTTTGTTTGTCTTCTTTTAGTTGGTTTTTCCCTCTTTACACAGCTCATTAGTTTTGTATTGAGGACAATACTTTGTGTAAGTGTGGGGGAGATAAGTATTGTTGATAGCTTAGTTAGATGGTGATTGTATTGATATTTGAATTGTGATTGAAGTAGTTGAGCCATGTTTTGCAGCTGAACATGTGATTTAATTCAAAGGTTTTTGGTTCTTAATAATGCATTGCATGTTCCTGTGATTTAATGCTGCATTTGTTATGATTTGAATGATAATTTTTGTTGGAACATTCAGTTCTCTGAAAAGCACCGCAGCCACTGAGTAATATGCCGCAACGCTTGATGGAAGTTCAATTATGTAAAAACCGCTGCGGCCTATTTTGAAATGAGCTACGGTGCCTGCTCCTAAACAAATGAGTATATGTTTTATGCTGGTTTTGAATATTTTAGGGAAACGGAATTGGATTTGTTCACCTACACTTTGTTATTTGTTCAAAAACCTTTTTGAGAATCAATTTATAACCCTTAATGTATTCTTGCAAGTTGGAAATCCATTTTGCAATCATAGCAGAATCTATGCCTGGTTGATATTATTCTTATTACAAACCTTTTCCATAGGACTGATTTTGGTCGCAATTAAGTTAGTAACTAGATATGATTGAATTAAAGTAAGTGGATGAGAGAAAACCCACATGGAAGGAAATTGAGCCTACATGTTCTGAATTTGTGTGCATATTCTCTAGTCTTATGTGCCTCTAGAACTTGATTTAATTCTTCATTGAGTCTGTATTTTGATATGAGCAAGATGCATATGATAGAGGCATTTTATTCTAAACCCATTATGACCTAAACACAAACCCTTTCACATTTAACCTTTGTCCACCTCTTTGAGCCTTCACTTTCATTTCATTCATTGTTTTGTAGCAAGTGTTTTGCATGAGTTACATTTGGTTTTTCATTTTAAAAAGTGCATCATGAATGTCTATATCTTTGTCTTCTTGGGTTTGGATCCAATATAAAAAAAAAGAGAGAAGAAGAAGAAGAAAATAAGTTGTGATAAAAAAAAATTTTGAAATAAGGCATTCCATTGTGGTTTGAAGAGCAAGGATTTTTATTCTAAAAGTTTAAATCTGCACATTGGTGTCTTTTCAGGATTATACCTTAGCTTACTTTGAGTTGATACTTCACTACTCATATATTTCACTTGTTAGTTCATTCATTCCATCTTAGCCTTTTCCAACATTACAACCTTAAGAAAGACCTCCTGATGCATTGAATTCACATGGTACGATGGTGGAGATGTTGAGAATTTTGACAAGCCTATGGTGGAACATAGACTAGTAGAGAGGAGAGAAAATCTAACCCCTGGTAAGTAGAAAGAAATACTTTAATCTGAGAGTCTCTCATTTCACTTGTAATGATTGAGCTATGTTTAGCATTAATTTTCTTGTCATTAATTGAAAGTTTTATAGGTTGGCTTACTCAACAAATAATACAACTAGTGTATGGTTTTGGATTCTGATTGCACTTGGATTGACATCCTTGTTAATTGTGTTCTGGGAAGTGAATTGGTGATTCTTTGCCCGGAGTGCAAAGTGCTAATATGGGGGAATTTGATATCTCTTTATATTTCATTGATTCTAGCATGATTTTCATGGTATTATATGTTTAATTTTGGATTTAATGGTGATAAAATACTACTAATTGCTTGGAAGGAGTGTTTTGTAATTTGATGAGAATTCAGGTCCAGAAATCAAAGAAACAAACACTCAAGGACTTAGTATACAAAAGTGGCAAGACTCTCTGTGAAAAGCGCTGTGGCAGATTTGAAGAAGCGCCACGACAAATTTGGCTCAACAGGCAGCTCAGAGTCACTAATCTAAATGACGCAGTTTTGGATGTGCGCCGCGGCATATGATGAAAATCAGCAATTTGAACCAGAAAGCGCGCGACAGAATCTGAGAGGGAATGGAACCGGATCTTGGAGCTCCATTTCTGTTAGCACGTGAATCCTGAACTGATTTTCAGTTGGGAGGCGTTAATTACAAAGGAGGAAAGTATTTAGGGGAGGACGGAGTTTTCAAATTGAGTTTCTTTTTAATTTTCCATCTTCATCTTCATCTCTTGGTATTTTTTCGGTCCTTCTGGAATCCTCCATCCAGATCCTCTATTTCCCAACCCTCACAGTTGCTGTGATGAAGTTCCAATCCTCTAGCTTGAGTCTTTCATCCCTCATGTCCAGCTAAGCTTCAAGGATTTCTAGGAGATATAATGGAGCCTGAGCCATGGTTAAATAGGGAAGAGTTTAGAGTTTATATGTGTTTAATTTCAGTAAAATTATGATTGTGTTGTCAATCTTTGTTTTGGGATTCAGACTCCTCTATCCACTTCTATGATTTGAGATTTGGTTAATTGTATTTAGAGGTTATCTTCTTGATTTAGAGTAATGATGTATGATTCTTTAGCTATGTCTAGTTATAGATTATACATTGTGATTGAATTCTTGAGAAGTATTGGTTAATATTTCTTTTGGAAGTGGCTGAATCTCCATTTAATCAATCTTACCTCATCAGAAATTAATTCAATTAAAGCTCTTAAATTCTGATTGATGCAAGAAAGGCAGCGAAGGCAAAGTTATACCTCCTAGGAATCATTCATCTCATTGAATTCCAATCTCAAAACATTCTCTTTTCTAAATTCTGATTTTAGTAGCATTTGATTACAGTCTTAGAAATGATTTCAGCTCAGTTGCCAATGCATTCACCTAATTTCTTCCCTGATTTGTGACTTAA